ATTTATCAATCCCAAACAGGCGAGATGTGACACAAGATTGGTAAACATTTATCAATCCCAAACAGGCGAGATGTGACACAAGATCGGTAAACATTTATCAATCCCAAACAGGCGAGATGTGACACAAGATCGGTAAACCTTTATCAATCCCAAATAGACGAGATGTGACACAAGATACGGCAACCGATCTAAATGTTATCTTTGTCCGCCGAACGTCTTATTTTCTTTCAGATTATTTTGTCTCACAAAAAGTAAATGTCATGAGAGCCAAGATCAGTATGGAAGCAAAGGAGGAAGAGGAAGTCGTTCTCCTCTCCAACTGGAAGAGTCACGTGATTTGTACCACTATCAATAAATCTGCATCACCAGTGGCACAAACTATGCTGCAACCCTTTTCTTCCAGACGTTTACTAACATACTGATGAACTCTTGCGTGTTGTCTTCCCTGACCAAAACGTTCTCTTTCTTGGAGTTAAGGTGGGTTCAGTTAAGTTAATCTTTGGTCCAACTACAGTTCTCGCTCCACATAGGTATGCTGGGTCCTTTGTGGATAAGGCCCACTGAATATTCATCAAAGACAACGATTGATCTGAGTGCAAAATTTCCCTATTTTATGTTTACGATATCAAACTTAATTTTCCAATGGCTGAAGTTGTGTTTAGAAATAAATAAAAAAAACTTCTCGAGTATGATTCTTCAATTAGCTTTTGCTCCTATCAACTGGGAAGCGAGGACGTTACACCCGACACCATTTTTACCACTTAATAATTTCGCAACCCTAAATACATTAGAAAAGGAAAAATGTATTGTACCATGTCCTCCAGTGGCTCAGCGATAAGCTTGAGGACTTATAATGCTAAACGTCAAGGTTCAATCCATGTGATGGACATTGTGGTACTTTGCGCTAAAACAGCTTTGTTTGATAACGACAATTTTCAGATATAAACACATAACACAAGTAAACCGAATAACATCATTTATTCTCAGACTAATACCCACTTTGGGTTATATTAGAGTATACATACACGTTTCACAATCAGATACTAGATCATAAAGATTTTAATTCGATATGTACGACTCTTAAGAAACCAGTATCTACAATATTTCTTACAAACTATTGTACATGAAAAACGTTAAAAAAGGCTTATCTAGTAGGATCAGTAAACACCAGTTTTTCTTCAAACAAAGACTTAGAATACAGAGTAACTATTTTACAAAATAAATAACACCTTGTTCCAGCTGACGGGCAGCATCAGTTACGTTAACAATCTTTAACAGGTGCTGCTCTCTTCGATGTTCTCGTTTTGTACTCGGAGCAAACTTATTGGAATTAGCTCTTGTTAAACTCTTTGAGCTTCCTCTGTGATTTATGGTACCATTTTCACTATTAAGATAAAATATTTGCCACTCATTCTTTAACATAGTCAGATATTTCATTCACACAATTTCTATGCTCTAGTTAATTTAAAACTTTGTGCTAGACGTTTGAAACCACATAATATATATTTTAATTTGAAACCTTTAATACAACCTAAAAGCGCCGATAGACTTACTACAATGTGTGGATTTGTTTTTGAAACTGAAATATAACCATTTTCTTTCAACTATGTACAGAACATCAACAACAGAGTAAGATACCATTCACACGAATCACTTTCTTTAGTAGATAAATATCAATTTAAAAGAATTAGAAAAACAAAAAAGACCTCAACGCATCTAAATCTTTCCTTAAGTTACTTGAGCAAATCTAATCGATATTAGGACAAAAAATCTTAACATACAGTAAGTTTAATTCGTTAAATTTTGTATACATCTCACGACTACATGATGTCTTAACTGTTTGTTATTTACTCGGAAAACTATATACTGCTTACACTATAATACATATTAATATCTCTAATAACTGGTTAACTCCATACACAATCAACGATCTAACATTAAAACAAAAATCACATAAAAATGCCTGAGTGTTGGCTATACATTGTAGTTTAAATCACAACTGTAAACTGTCCAAACTTATTCTTATTAACGCTTTCACTGCCAGAGATATGTTCCTCTCTACAGCATATAGTTCGGAATTTTGTAAGAAATGGTAACTTACCAATTTCAGATAAGTAACAGATACATTATTTTTTAATATTTTTATTGTGTATGTAAAAATAAACCTGGCAATGGGAGAGTCGTTTATCTATAAACGTGACAGTTCTATGGATATTTTTAATGGTATTCCCTTTGAAATTTATCAAAGTTTACCAGTTTTAGATAAGTAATTAAAACGTATCGTTCTTTTTTAAATATTTCTATAGAGTATCCAAAAATACACCTGGCACTAGGAGAGTTATGCCTCCATAAATGTGGCAGTGAAAGGGTTAAGACATCACATGTTTAACAAATGAACAACGTAAAAAAAATAACACACCAAAAAACTGGACTGTTATTTGGTCAGCAGTGTGTCACGCTTCAACGATGGCGTTTCCATAATAACATCCGCTGTGTAATACTTCGTCATTTCAACCTAGCTTTGAATCTATACGAAGTTCATGAGATGTAGAATACTTCGAAAATTAGTAGCTGTTTGTAACTTGTAACACGAAAATCCAATTGTTCTACTGTTGCTCATTTACTGTAGTGAATATCTCCCTCTTTCTTTCTTTTTTAGATGATAGGTAAGAAGTACTGATTATATTAGATAAAAACAGTTTTAGTTTAAAACTTTTGCAAGTCTATGCACAGTATGCCCCCGTCTCACGAAACAAATGGAACTGTCCACGAGTTAACGACAGTTCTCAGTTCTGTACACATCAAATATTTATTTTACAGTCTTCGTTTGAAGCGATAAGAATACTTCACTGTACACTAATTTATTCTGGTTTTTATAGTCATTTAAGTTAACCCTACATTTTTCAGCGATAAATTATGATTACATTAGAGCATGAAATTAACAAGGTCTTGTGTTCTCACAGCAATACCCAGTTGTTGTAGTACTTTCTCCGCTGTTTACTCTGGAAAAAAACGAGAAAAAAAAACAACCACCATCACGATTACGTTCGTTTTCCTGCAGTAATTAAAGTCTACAGTTAGTTTAAAAACATGTAATTGCATTAAGGCGAGTGCTTTCGTATTTTCAACAACTTAATACTTACGGGTTTAAATATTAGTACAAAAAATCAATGAAAGAAAAACTATATAATAATTAAAAAGTTTCCAACAAAATTGCTATCCATGGTCAGGAAGTCCCAACTTTAAAGTATTTGTACCGTAATAGGTTAAAATAATAATAATAATACAATGAACATAAAAAATTAAAATTCAAAGACAGCTAAAATGGGATAGAAAAAATATATCATTTAAAAACAACATTTCGCCACTGTTAAGGTGGCATCATCAGGTAAATTTTGTAAAGTGTGGGATACCTCCAACATTTATAAATGTAAAAACATTTATTATTAAAACGAGTTTTTATCTACCAACATTTTTCAATAACATTTCATAACTTACGAGTGAATGAATTCGTTTAAAAGTTTTTTTTTATTATTAACCATTAATCTCAGAGTAACATTTTATCAGAATGCTTGTAATAATAATAATTATTCTACTGCCACTTCTCTACGAAATAAGCCATTTCTCTACGAACAGCCTATATAACAATAACTGAAGCAAACTGACCTATGACTTTGAATTGCTACTGGAGTCCGTGTCCCCATCACTAAGCCTCGACGCACTCCCTTCTCTAGTACGTCTTCGATGTTTGTAACTGTGTTCTCTCTCTATTGAACCTGTCAAGACGAATTACCAATGATTCATATCACTTTAAGGCATTTACGACACTGATTTACTTTTATTAAGCAATACAAGATTTTTCAGAATGAATACTCTACAGGCAGTCATTCAACCCCCCCCCCCCCAATAAAAAAAATAAATAAATTGGAAGACCACCATTTACCCGTCTTTGAGATTTAATAAATCCATGAAGCCCAAAATTAATGTGCATAAATGCATTTGATTTTGATAATGATTTAGAAAAAAATGTATTGTTATATTTTTTTTAATGAAATTGAGAGCGATTCACTTATTTTCACACGTTTTATTTGATCAGCTATCACCGGAATTACTTTAACATTTTACCCAATTACTAGACAACTTAAAGTCAATAGGTCATACCTGGGAGAGGGGTGTGTACTTCAACTTTGACTTTGGCAGTGGCAGTAACAGTTGTCGTGACAGCCGTCTGCATTGTATTGGACTGAGGACTCGGAGAACTAGAATCATTGGCTGTATGACTTGCAAAACGGCTATTAGCCTGTTTGTCATCTAAAACTGTGCTCGTGCTGGCCATATTTGCATCCTAGAAACACGTGAGGAATGGGTTCAACAAACTTTAATATCAAAAAATTGATGAAAAGAAATTAATTAAAATTAAAAGCTATCATCGAAATCAATAAATTTAAAAAATATTCAAATTATGTGCAGACTATTAATTTTCGTGTTTATATTAATTATAAGATTTAAAAAATGATGGGATGTAAGTTTTCTAATTCTGACTAATTTCTGTTTCATACGTTTATTGATTACCATCGTAAGCAAGAAGACACATAACTGCCCCAGCTACAAACGTTTTGTGTTCTTACCCGTTTATTTGTTGTAGTGGTTGTGCTTATATTTCCACCAGATGTCGCTGTCGTATTCGTAATAGTTGTGGTTTCCACAACGACCTCCGGCTGCACAACGATTTCGTGCGAGGAATGGTAAGACTGAGGTTCTTCCGTAATTGTACTAAGTGAAATTTCAGAGTTGACCCGGGGATACACCCGGCGGCTGAAATGGCGGGAAGTCTGTGTCCTCTGTCTTGGCGGGGATGGCTCTGGAGATGGAGTAGCTATCCTATCTGGATCATCATTGGGGATTACCTGTCAGCATAAGTAAAAGTAAATACATAAACGTACTTATTATTTTATACGCACTTCCACTGTGTAACAATAAATATATTTGTGTTCTTCAGTACGATTCAAAAATTAGCCTAAAACATTAATAATCTTCCCAAGCAGTGGTGTTATTTCAGTAATCTACTACATTTCTAGATATTGATTTAATTTTTTTGTTTTACCTGACGTAAAAAAAAATGATAGAAAATACAGTTTAAAAAAAATCGTACACACCTCTCCCGGAGGTCCGACCAATGAAAGCAACACTGGTAGGACTAGTAGTCCATTTACTGCACCAATAAATACTAGAGCAACTAGGACGTAGAAGAAATACCTGAAATGATAAATACATGGGAATTAAAACTCAGGTTTTTAAGAAATGAAAAGTAATCAAGTTTGCTTCGACAATAAACAAGTCAATTTCCCCATTCTAACTAGTGTAACGTACTCACATTATGTATAACTGTTTTGATGTGAATTTTATAGTTTCTATCCCAGTTGAAAGATTTTAGACAATACTGAAACTTATTCAGGACTTGAAATCGGTACATGGATCTACGGAAGTCATGAAACCGGTACGAAATGCTACCATACTGATATAAGAAGTTATGAAACAGGCAACAGCTACGAAACTGACAAGAAAATTGTTATAAAAACATACGAAACTAAAACAAGGTTATGAATCAGACGCAAGAAAAACAACAAAAACTAATATAAAAAGTTATGAAACTAGTACAAAAACATTTAATGCCGGTATAGATGCTGATATTGTTTGATATGAATTTCGCACAAAGCTACACGTGGGCTATCTGTACTAGCCGTCCCTAATTTAGCAGTGTAAGACTAGAGGGAAGGCAGCTAGTCATCACCACCCACCGCCAACTCTTGGGAAACTATATTACCAACGAATAGTGGGATTGACAGTCACATTATAACGCCCCATGGCTGAAAGGACGAGCTTGCTTGGTGTGTCGGAGATTCGAACCCGCAGATTGCGAGTTGAGCGCCCTAACCACCTGGCCATGCCGGGCCTAAATGCTGATATAATTAGTAACAACTGCTACAAGAAGACGGGAAGCTACACAAAAAACACAAGCTTGCTGAAAGGTGTTAAAGAAGTACTACAAGCTACAGAACTGTACAATATCCGAAACTAGTAGAATAACCTACAAACACATTATAGGAACACATGAAAAATGATATATAAATTTAGTTTGCAATTCTTCTGATACACGTGAATAAAACAGTGGACTGTAATACTGATACAGCAATAAGATTTCTGCTACGGGCCGACAATATCTTAACAAATGTTGTTTATTAAAGTGTTTCAGTTATCTCAATAGTATTTTTCTTGTATATGTACCCGAAGTTAAGAGTTGAAATAAAAATCAGGCAAGTTTAGGTATTGAAAACTTCATGATTGTTGCGAGTGGCTCATAACTAAAAAGAAAAAAAAAAGTTTTAAACCCAGGACTAGTCTTCGAGCTATGATCATATAACAGAGGAGTTTTTAACTTGCTAGATACTCAAGTTGATTCTATTTTCTTTTCAAATGTTACTTCTGTGTTAGTCACGGGTGATGACCTAGAATCAAGAGCCTTCCTGATGTACGTGTTTCTTTCCTAGAACACCTGTGCTGCCTTTCATTCTTCACGTTCTTCCCACCCCCACCCCTTCCCTTTTAACCTGAGGCCTCTACATGCTGGAGCCCCGAGTCAGCCTTCCATAATGAAGACATCCTCAGCGCTCTTCGGCAAGCAGATTCTCATTACCAGAGACTACAGCTTCAGGATAACCCGCACTAATAAAACCCGAGTCTCCTTGACAACTTTATTTACTTGTCAGATATATAAATGTATTACTTATTGTGCGGTACCGAGCAAGCTGGAGGTGAAAAAGCTGAATAATACATTTTATACCTGCTCAAGAAGAAAAATGGCAGCGACGGATGAGAGAGAATTAAAAAAAAAATCAACCGCAGGTAGTAGTACGTCAGTTTTGGAGATAAATAACTTTCGTATTCCATTAGCTGCCAGCCATATCCCAATTTCCACCACCACCACAGATCTCATGCTATAACGAGAAGCACTGGTCACGAAGAAGGGGGGTGGATAGGGGTTGCAGGAGCAGGTTCCTGGGCCTGATGTGTCCCTGCGGTTTTATGTTGCCACAATTGTTGATTAGAAGCGACCGTCGTGGTGTCTTGGCCCACCCTGTTTGCATTTTTTCTGCATTTTAAACTGTATTTAATAGAACCGACTGGTCAAAGGTCAAAAGAGATATGATGCTGTGCGACGGTGTTCATATTAAGGTGCTAAAGCAACGCTGCGTTACATATTAAACTAGAAAAGTGTATAATCAGGCAAATGAAAATCACTTGAGCTCTAACGATTATTTTAAAAGAACCTCATCAATTCACTTTCAAATAAAACCGGCAACATATCTATTTAAATCTGAGTATAGTTTTTTACTGTGTTGGAACATCGTGTCCAAAGACGTCGACACATTCTCCAGGTCACATCAAATAAAATTTTGCCTTGGTTAGAATAATGACCAATGTCCTCAAAAGCAATTTGTTTCCGGGTGTCGATCAGGATGTGATGACCAAAAAAAGGTTATCTTTTGAAACTGTAAATCGAAGTTTGTGATCATTTCTGCGATTTAAACAAAAACATGAAAGAAAATATCAGTCATGTTTTATACCTTTTTTTTTATTTCATTTGGTAAGTAAACGCTAGATTAACAATGTTTAATGCTAGTTAAGATATAGTAGCTTCCATTACGTTCGAACTGGATGATTTGTGTGCATATTTAACCTTTCAATTGCGGAAAATCTCTCATTTCTTTTCCTGCGTACAGGATTCCAATATTCATATAATTTCTTCACCCCTTTTCAACTGATGCCAATGTTTATAGTCGAGCTCCTTTCGACATCCTTCTTGAATACGTCACAAGCACGAGAATAACCACATGCGGCGGAACATATCTGAATTTGGAGGGATCGCCTTATTTTCTATGTTAACACTGAAGTAAAACAGTGACTTTCAACAATAATTATAAATAAGTCTTTATTCCCCATTCAAACGGTCACTTCCCTATTGACCCAAAATTGGGAGGACGTCCCCAATACTCCCCGATTCCACTACCTATCAGGATAACACACGGTGTTTCTTCATACCACCCCCACCCCATTTGATATGGTCAGGTGAAATAGGAAAAAAAGCTTCAGTAATGTGCTAAGCTAAGAAATCCTGTTTGGTACCACTGGACTGTACGTTTGTGATGTCAGAAAAAACCGTAGGTTCAATAAGTCTTAATACAAAATATAAGGTTTTTATCATTTTTTACTGCACTGTACGATTATTGATACCACACACGAGCAAAAATAATGATCTATTTGTGTATTAATTGCTTGAATTCTCCACCATGTTTCTGAAGTTTTAATCCAAAATGTGCCTACTATAACAAAGACAAAAATGCAGCTGTTAATATTTTCGATACTTACAGTAAAATTTATAGCTAGATAAAACAAACGCAAAACTCCAATAGAAGGTATAAATTTGAAATAAACGTGAAAATGGACCGTGGATAATGACCTAAAGACTTTTGAAATGTCGTCACTTCAGCCTTCTTTGTTGAGGCCCATTTTCAGTAAGGTTCTAGTGTATGCGTTAAAACACTTGTTATCCAAGGTGTCCACTTTCGCCTTCCTTTCAATACGAATACACCGTTTAAGATATACATTAAAGCTATAAACCCATGAATACTATGGTGGACCACGAAAAAACAGTACTTGGAGTTAACCACCATCATGATTTCACAAGATAACCGTTTTACCACGGTCTATAGTCAAACTGAAGAAACATGGGAGTCTTAAGAACTCTGATCCCATGTGTGACAAGTGTAAAAAAAAGCTTACCTGATGATGAAGTCGAATTCTGAGAAAGCTAACATCAGAACACCCAGGAGGGTTGACATAGACCCGTGGACAACAGGTGCAAACATGTGTTCTAAAGTCATAGCCATCCTTCTATTCCTGTCCCCAATACTGGTCAGAAAGCCCTACACACACAACGAAATGCTGTTATGAACAAAACATTATCACTTTTTGGTATGATGTAAAATTAAACCGTTTAGCAAGCTAACTTTGTATAGAAAATGCACATCAAAGTCAATCTCTCATGATTATTTTAAGCGCAAATTAGGCTACACAATGTACTATCTGCACTGGGCCCCATCACGTGTATCAAACTCCAATATTTTACGTTACAAGAATTCAACCTTACCGTTGACCCACTCGGAGGCGACCTCTTATAAATAGCCCTACTAAGGTCATTGTAACAGCATTACTTGGACTAAATAATATTTATGCATTTTACTAAAGAGAGTGGAATTTTTGATTTCAGAAAGAGACCTACCATCGTGATATGTGCCGTAAAGTCCATTCCAATACCGACAGCCACAATCAAAATAACCGCCGGGACTGCACTTAGGCGGATTCCTAGAATTCCCATCAGACCAAACAGATGGATCACAATGGAGGCCAGAACGATGACCTAGAAATGGAAAGAAAAGCCCAATACTGTATTAGACGTATCGGGCAGTAAAAAAAGTGTCCCACATTAATCTCTAAAAAAAAAATGTATCTGGAGGCGTTTTGATAAGTTTCCCACTAATATAATAACTTGTCACATTTGGTTTATACCAAAAACAATATTCACTCATTTCCCAGTAAAACTTGTTTAGGTTGCAGATTGAAGTAGCGATGAAATTACTTTCTGTTTTCGATTTCCATAAAAATCGATAAGGAACACTTCACTTACCATAATGACAGCCGCCCAGAGATTGACCAGGACAACAGAAATGACGAGGAAGATTGCTGTTAAAACACAGATTAGGGCCACACACAGGTAGAACCTCAGTCCAATGTACTGTTCCCAGAAAACGAAAGGAATTCCTGTTGGGAAGTTTGGCAGTCCTTTTTCTTCATATTTCCGGCACAAAGTCCGGATGACCTCAATAGTTTTCGTTATCTCGTTAGTGTCTCCCATGTTATTGAGGTAGAATGGCATCTGAGCATAAACTAGAGGTTGGGATTTGGGGATTTTGAGGTCCACATCCTGAGGATCGTGTCTCCAATCGCGAGGTTCAGGCTGGAGGTTGGCTTGAGAAGCGGAATAAGCGAGGGCATCGTTAGATACCCATGCTGACAAGTGGTTGTAGAAAGCTTTAGAATTGATGATACCCTCCTTGTCCACAAGTCGCGATGTTGTAACCTGAAAAAGAAACACGTGTTCAGAAACGAAATCGTTAGCACCAGAGCAAATAAAAAACGCTATTAGTGCTAACCTTAGACGGTACACAATATTAAAGTGTTTATTTGTTTGAAGTTATGCACAAAGATTCACAACGGGGTATCTGTGTGCTCTGCCCGCCATGGGTATCGAAACCCGGTTTCTAGCGTTGTAACTCCGCAGACACACTGCTGTGCCACTGGGGGCATATTAAAGTGGTACAAATTAGTATTACCTTCTGATCACATTATGTTATCTACTCAAAATATTAGCGTAAAATCTTCGGAACTATAGAATGCCTTTTGCACTTCAACTGCAACTACCTGAGGAATTTGAGTTTAAAGTGGGCGGTATGCATACCGGTAAGAAAGAAAAAAAAATGATGGTACGACATACCGGCCTCAAAAAAAATTATACTGTTACAAAACACCCTACCTGCACCTCTGGTTTCGCCCGAAAATACGATTGTTTTTAGTGTCTCTACAATTAAAGCACGAGTATGTTTCACTTCAAGTCACTGACCTTATTCTCCGTGCATACTAGCACCATTTTCAAACCTCTTTAATAAACATTGCTGAAGATTCTAGTTTTCTACCATACTTCATTTGAAAAAAAATGTCTTCCTAAAGATCTTAAAATATTCTTTTCGTGATTAAGATTTTAAACCTTTTCTTACCAGAGATTTGTCCACAGGGTTATCCACTCTTCCCGTTTGTACCAACAATTTATAAGCTAGAATGCCTTCATCAGTAGCGTTAGCGAACCACCGTTCTTGGGTAATACAGCCGTCATTCCAGTCCTTGTCGAACGCTTTCTGCAAACCTACGACACATAAGTACATACAGACTATCTGTCATTTAACATTGTTCAAAAATCATGGGTTTACTTGATTTCGACAATATAGCACAATAAACTCTGAATATGAGCATTTCTAAGCTATCATTGACTACTTTCGTTACTTGTGGTTTCAGATAGTAATAGCTGTACTTGTGAAGACAATGGATCTGACAATATATTGTTTCAGATGAGTATATTATTAAGAGCTGTATTTGAAAAGATAAAACATCTGACAGTATACTCTTTCATATAGGTGTATTTTTAAGAGCTTTATTTTAAAACATAAGATATTCCTTCAGCTGTATGTATTATTAGGCGCTGTATTTCAAGTGTAAATATGTATGACAATATATTGTTTCAGATGGGTATATTTTTAAGAGCTTCACTCGAAAAGAAACTCTACGGCTCTACAGCTGCTGCTTAAACTAAAAAAAAAAAGCACTAGAGTAATGTTGTACTTTGTCCACAGTTCTTGATGAAATATTAACATTCTGTTTGTTTCAGAGCTACACAAAGTCGACATCCCGCACCGCCAACACTTAGAATAATACTGTAAACCCGTAAGGTAGGATTTGACTGTCACTTTTAGAGCGCATTGACGGCCCAAAAGTGCGAGCGCCTTTTTTTTTTTTCGGCAACGGGCGACGAACCAAGAATCCTCGCATTCATAGTTCGAGCACACTACCCATTAGGACACGTCCGGACATAAATATAGAAGCAATTTCTAACAAAATATATAATTGCTATCTATATATGTAAACAATTCAAATTTTGAAACGAACGAGAAAATAAAATAAACAATTGGTGGCGAAAAAAAAGAAAAGAAATGCCTAATAATTTTTATTTTTACATGAAATAAAATTTCGACGTGTATTTAATATTTAATCTAATTTTCTCTTAAAGCTTTCGAAGTTTTTTTTCCTTTTGTAATAAAGTCATTATCGTTATAACAAATGTTTTACATAGCAGAAGGTATCATTCAACGTGAATACTACAACAATCAGAATATATTACTGTGACGGTCTGCTTAACAGAATTATTCCTCGTATCATTTCTTACAGCTACAGCAAGCCACGCGTCTTTTTCCAAGGGCGACAACGGCACGTACACTATATTACTGAAAGAAGCCGCCAATTCAAATGTAGGCTTACATAAAACATGAAGCCAGGACTGATAGTTGAATAGTTGCCAAGTTACTCTGACAGCCGGTTTGATGTCTTCATTTTCGACTCAGGTGAGTAGTACAGTGATTCATCGCTTGGGGGTTACAAGATTTAAAACTGGGGGACCATTTAAAAAATTCTCTACGCAGTTCTTTGCTTCACATGCAAAAACAGTCAACGACGTGTGTATATTTTCTCTAAAGTTCTTTGACATGTGGTACAACTTACCTTACAGAAAAAAATCGATTATATACGGTAGCTAACGTTAAGTGTATTTATTTTATCATCACGTATATGAGATAGTCTCAAGAAAATACCCTTTAATACAAAACTTATAAAATTCAAGTTATGTTCGTTAGCTGAAATTCTGGTAATAGTCGACAAGTTGGTTCAAAATAAGTACGTTACTACATGGTGGGTTAAAAATTTTAGGGCACGTTGTATCGCAAATTCTAAAAATCTCTAGTTTCACAAGTAATATTTATATAACGAAACAGTTATTTACAGAGAGAAAAGTACTTATCTCGAATCACAGCTATCTTCGCGTGCTATCATGTGTGGGCCATGACCGTGGTTTATCATCACGTGCCCGCGTGATGGCCCGACCCACAATCTCACGTGCCAGTGACAAGTTTCTAGTAAGTTGCGAGTGGTAACAACGGGGGGATTCTTTCGCGCTGTTCGAGGCCGTCGAAGCTGAAATAATTTACTAAACAATACGAAATTCATACGCATGCCACTTCAATCGGGTGGTCCATCAATTTCGATTGAAAATACTCTTTTTACGCTTCTAAGTTACACAGTCATTTATTCCCACGCTTTACTATTTCATATTATGTAATTTCTCATATCGTAATTTAAGTAATTCGAAATGAAAACGAAATGGTTGCATAAACATTAATTATTGCCAAAATCAATGTTAAATGCACGAGCGAAACCACATTGATAAAAACTTCTAAAAGAAATGGATTCAGCACGCAAAGTTAACCCTAATACGTATCTCAGCTTTATAAAACAGCACTGGACTTTCATATTTGATGGGCAGTAGTTATAGGCTCGAAAAATTGCTCCTTGCTCTATCAGCGGTTGGTCTTGGGCAGGGCAACAAGGGTTGGCGGTCCAGGATTAAACCTGCTGACTGCTAGAATGAATGGTTAGCTTGAGTTATAGCTCAAGGGGAAGGTGGCTAGGAGTATCTCGACACTAAGAATGGCTTAATTATGGAAAAGGCTGCTTAGTGCTCTGTTCCTGCTCGAGGCACGTAGGTTATGACTTAGAAGCATGCAATGATCAAACACGTCCGCGCGGATGTGAGGGCGCTTTGTGGATCAACTTCAGAAGATTCTGTTGAGACGAAAAAATACGCCAAGAAACCTTCACATCCAGCTAAAACGAGTAATTTGTTCCTCTGAGAAAATAAACTATACTCAAACTCTGTGAGTGTGATGAAAGCAGTGTGTAAACGAACGCTGCCAATCATCAGCAGACGATCAACGTTATCCATCATACAAGTTTTCTCACGTTCCTCGCACGTACTACTTTTAAGTCAGCATACTATTTTCAGTTTCAATGTAACTTCACAAAAACCTCTCTGTAGGGTGTTGTGATATATATATACACATTCAATGTGTTTTTAGTTCAATATGTTTATTTATTTTAACACTATTTCGCACTTTTCCATCATTAACACAAATGAATGAATTATTGTCGTGTACGTCATTCAGAACTCTCAAACTTCAACATATATGATACTGACATCCAATTTTCTATTTCGCCCAGTTACATTTTTATCTAAAATAGCATACAAACTGATAAATTAAACAAAAATATTCCATTTTCCTTTGTTTTTTGTTGTTATTGTTTTGTTTTTTCGTAAACATCATAAATAAAATTAAGTTTTGTCATGTTGAGGGCTCGTAAGTCAGTGTCAGTTTATTTATAGAACGTAATTATAAATTAATAATAAGTTCAGTTTGTTTGAAATTAAGCACAAAGCTATACAATGAGCTATCTGTGCTCTGCCCACCATGGGTACCGAAGCCCGGTTTCTAGCGTTGTAAGTCCGCAGACATTAATAATAAGAAAAGATCAAAGTTATTCAGGGGGTAACGTGTATAAAAGTCCCCAGAAAATCTATAATAAATGTTCTACATTTCCGAATAAAAAAAAATGTAAAATTTCTATTTAAACAAGTTCGACAAAGCCTCAACATAAAATCATATCAAATTCTGATTCTTCCTGGGACTTTGAAACACAATAAAAAATAAAGGTAAAGGGAGAAAACAGTTTAATTGTTTGTCTTTAAAACATAGCCAGAACATAACATATTATTTCAGTCCTTAACACTTCCTAAAGCTTTGAAGTAAAACAAAAATTATAAAGGTAAAACGAGAATATGGTATAACATGCAAAAGTACCCCAGTGATGGAAAATGTTTAAGTTAAAGTTAGTTCATGGTCTAATGTTAATTGTATTGCACTCTTGGTTTCACTCAGAGCCAAAGGTCTGGGCTACTTATACTGCCCACTGCGAAAAGTAATTGTTGAGCATTTCAGACATGCTAAGAGCCGCTTAACAATAACATATAATGGCTGGAGACGTTGTACATTTGCTGTTATATTAAAGTTTTTCTTCATTACCCATTCAAGCCGTCTCCAGTCATTATTAGTCTCAAAGTGGGTTCCTCTTCATCGAACAATAACATATGGTAAATCTACATTTTTATTCTTTAAGTTAC